TTGTCGCATATAACTTGACAAATTCACTTAGTAGCTAACTCCCATCACTTAAGAGTTCCACAAAGCACAAAGCAAGCAACATTCATGCAGTAACATCCCAATCTATAGAATAACCACGAGCATCCAATCCCACATACAAGAACTCATACTAGGAAATCTCACTCCCGCTACTGATTGCCTTACACATACAAATTATACCCAATATAGCATCCCATGCTTCCTAATATTATAAGTTAATTACTACATGTATAAGATTAAGTTAGTCGGATCACTGGTATGCCTCATTTACGAAGTTGAGTTATAAAGGGGGTATAAGGAAATTGCCTATAAAATGGTAGTTGAATGGGTGTCCACTCTCACCCACCACTTCTTTGTTTGGTGGAGGGTCTTTAGCAGAACGGATTTGATAGGACATTAACTTCATTAAAAGTATAATGCTATTAAAGTACTATAACTCTTTATTAAATCCCAATGTAGTTACTTTAGGGAAAATGTGAATTTGTATGCCAATCCATGAAATTGCACATTATGCTTTATATGTCGTTAGTGGAGCGTATGTGTAACACCCATAAAAATTCAAGCCAATTTAAAACTTTTTAAAACATTTAAAACCATTAAGTCATTACAATTTGTTTCCAAAATAGTTTAGACATCAGAGTATCCCCAGAATCAATCATGAAAATATGAGGAGGTGCACGATCACGCCTTTGCCTTCCCGCGGTCATCCGAATACCTGAAACAATAATCGATAAATGTAAGCTCGAAGGCTTAGTGAGTTACCCCCAAAATACCAACCTCAAATAACCATAATCATATCATATCAACAACTACATAACAACATGCATATTGAGCCTTCAGTCTGACTGGACCGCCTCGCAGGCCTTCAGTCTATCTGGACCGCTCTCCGAGCCTTCGGCACGTCTGGACCGCCTCGTAGGGCCTTCAGCCTATCTGGACCGCTCGTCGGGCCTTCGGTCTGACTATCATACCCTCCTGGGTCTGTAGTCTATCCGGACCGCCTTGGGTATGTTGGCCTTCAGCACAAAGCAGGACCGCCTCAACCCAAACCCCCAATCAAACAAACATGTGCACATACATATCATACGCTAGCATATATAACAGTCAACCAATCTAACAGATCACATAGCATAGCATCATCCTATGCCCAAGATGCTGACCTAACCAGGTCACCAACATATGTACAGATAATCATACGGATCTAACAGATCACATAGCATAGCAACATCCTATAGTCAGGATACCGACCTAACCAGGTCACTAACATATATACAGATAATCATACGGATCTAACAGATCACATAACATAGCAACATCCTAAAACCAGGATACAATCGTAAAGGGCCGGCCTTGGTGCCGTAGAGCCTGTTGATATAGTGAGGAGAACTCACCTGTCACTGCTGAAGTCCCGCAGAATAAACTCCAGCTGCTGGTTGACAGCTTCCCGAACTGTCAACATCAAACAATACCCAATTAATAATTAGGTCCCAAGCTCAAAGTCCAACTCACACTCCAAAAGCTCAAAAGTCAAGTAATGGGCCAAGGCCCAACATATGACCCAATTTTCCAAATTGGGCCCAGACCTCTACATGGTCTTTCCTTAATGCTCATCCAATTAGTCCAGTCCAATTCCCATGGCCCAATATCACATAATCGTAAAGGCCCAATTATGGCCCAATTTTCCCAATTGGGCCCAGACCTTCACATGGGCCTTACCCTAAAGCCCAACAACAGAGTCTAGTCCATATGATCATTCTTGGGTGTCCCATTAATGATCTGATTACCAAAGCCCAATGGAAAGGCTCAACTCAAGGCCCAAGTGAAATTAGGGTTTCACATAAAATGATGACTAGGGTTAAGTTTCCTACTTAACCCATTAAGAACTTAATCCACTAAGGACTTAATCCATTAAGTTCAATATTGCTTAGATTAATCTTTGCCAATGATTATTATTTAATATTTCAAACTATTAAATAATTCCCGTGTGTGTGTCCCGATTAATTCTCAAAATTAGGGTTTTATTGGCATTAGGGTTTTCCAAACCCTAATTAGGGTTTCCAACCCAAATACTAGCCAATTATCAATTTGTTGGGCTTTTAGGTCCATTAGGGCTTTATTGGGCCCATTAAGGTCTCATTGGGCCCACTAGGGTTTCTTTTGGCCCATTAGGGTTTAGTAGTCCCTTGTCCAAACATCCAAACGAGTCATAAACCAAACAAGGCACACCGCCACCCGACACGGCGGCCGTTGGCGGCAGCCACCACCTCAAGGTGGTGGTTTTGACTTTCTTTCCTTTATTCCATTTGTACAATTTACAATACCATCCAAGAACAAACACACACATACTAATAATATACACACACTAATACATACACACAGCCACTAAAACCCACCCACCTACGGTGGTGCATGGCGGCAGCGGGGTTTTCCTCGAATCTCCGGCCAACAGAAATGCTCCAAAAACAATAATCACAGCAGCACCCGACTTACATACCCACAACAGATGTGGCCACCCACCCGTGGCGGAAAATAACGGCAGCAGCCGCACTAACGTCCGCAGCGACGGCGTTTCGTCTTCGACGGTAGAGAGACGTCCCCGACTACCCCGGTGGTCTTAAGGCTCCAACAGTGGTGGTGGCGACGTATCAATAAACATAACGGAGAGGAGAGGAGAAGGTGGTTCGAACCACCGAGTATAGGAGCGGTACACGCGTCGTGCCCGAAAAATAAACCCAACACTATGGGTGGCGGCGGTAGCAACACAGGAAACAGCAGCGGCGGCAACAACTCGGTGAAACAACCGTATGGCGGCAGTGGTAGCAACGAGGCTCGACCAGCACCCTCGATCGGTCCTCCCCGAAACAACAACGGTCGTGGCGGCTTCTTCCGGCGACCCCGACGTCCGACGATTCTTCAGATGGCGGCGGTTGGAGAAGGAGAGTGGAGAGGGAGTGGGGTGGCGGCTGCACAAGTTGTGACTAGGGTTAGGGTTACCGGATGGGTAACGGCTAAATACCCCGCCCCTCATAGACATTTCCCCATAATTACAAGATCAGCCCCTCCATCATTCTTTCTTTCAATTTAAATCCAAATGTTACCATTTCTACCCTGGCTTCAAGAATCTTTTCAAATCTAGTCCGTAATTTACACCACAGCCCCTCACTCAACAATTCCTTTCAACATAGGTCCAGAATTTACTCCTTTAACCCCAATCATTCAAGATCCTTTCAAATTAAGTCCAATATCATTCTTTAACCCCTGGAACTACATTCCAATAATTATTATTAAATTTTAAGCTCTAATAATATAAAATAATCAAAATAATTACTTCCCGGGGTTCCTGATTTATTATTTAATTACTCTATTCAAAACGGGATGTTATAGTATGTGGTTAACCAGCACACTAATAGGAACTATAAAGAGTAACAATGGGCATCTTGAGAATTATAATTGTTGATGGAGTGTGTGGTGTTTACCAGCACAGCAATACGAGATGATAAATGACATCGAGGTTGCCAAGCATATTTGCATGGTTATTCACATCTTGTTTGTGATCCGCGGTATCCCAGTCACAAACAGAAGAGCATAATCTGAGATTAAACATGTCATTGATAGATTCAATGAATCTCAAAAGATCTAGGAATTTCATTTTGATTGAAATTGGTAAATTGCTTTACCTATCTTTATAAATTTTACAATTAGATTACAACATCCATCTTCTAGATTGTGAATTGCATAGTTGAGTCCTAACCTTAATTATTATGGGTTATAATATTAAGGATTATTGTCGTCTAACTAAAACTACTTTTTATCTATAGATGTTTACTCCTGGTGACACTTCTGCTCCTTCGTCCTCTACCCACCACTCAGGTTTCTCCCTGCTCTCGATCGTGTCCAAGGTGACATTTGATGGCACCAACTACAATGACTGTATGTGCAATATCAAGATGGCTCTTCGGTTCGAGGGCAAAGATTATGTATTTGAAGTTAAACTTGTTGAAATTGATGAATGCACTACTACTCCAGAGCAACTAGCCTCCTACAAGAAACACTACAACGATGCAACAAAAGTTGTTTGCATCATGGTCGCTACTATGACCCCCGATTTGCAGAGGTTCTATGAGGACTATTGGTCATATGAGATGAACAATAACCTTGTGGGAAAGTACCACAAGAGAGCTCGTCACGAGAAATATGAAGTGGTAAAAGCTCCCATGGCTTGCAAGATGAAAGAGGGAGAGTTTGTGTGCAACCACATGAAAAAAATGCAAAGATATGTGGAACGTCTTGTTAGGCTCAATGTGCATTTCGATGAGGAGTTGGCCATTGACATGGTCTTGAACTCCTTGCCAAGTTGTTATGATCAGTTCATTTTGTCTTATCATTTGAACAACATAGAAACCACATTGGCCCAATGTAACATCCGATTTTCAGGCATTTCATTTTAGTCCTTAGCCTATTTAAAGTTTGCATATTTGGCCCTTTATGGTAAAAGTCTCACATTTTAGCCGTACACTAGGCGTATGTGAGGTACGCACAACGTACTTAAGCGAACCATATATGGAAATACCTCATTAATGACTGTCCTACGTAGGATGTCACGTGAGAAAAACCTACAAAAATCTGCCATAAATATTGAATATGTACAAAAACAAGAAAGACTTATTTTGCAACAAAAAAATATAGACTAAATGTGTAGAAACTAAGAACTTAACCTAGAGTAATTGGTCTTAATGACTGAATGTGTACAAAACAACAAGTTCAAGGTCTTATTTTATAAGAAAAAAACAATGATGATTAAACATGTACAAAATAAAAACTATATTTACCTTTTTCCTTAAGAAACACAACACAAGTAAGGCAAACTGAAACGATACGACACAAGCATGGAGAAAGTGTCAAAATTAAGAAATACAGGGGGCAAATGGGGTTTCTGTTTTCTTTTTCTTCTTACCATTTTTACCCTTCAAATCGATCGTTACACCTGGTATAAAATGAGATAAAAGGGAAAGGTTTGCCTTTGTATAAGCTCTCTCGCACAGGTTCCTCTTTTGGTTGGATTATAGAGAGAAAGCCATTGAAAGATGAGCGGTGTAGGGAAGAAGGTTGTCGATGTGGCGTTCAAGGCGTCAAAGACGATCGATTGGGATGGGATGGCGAAGATGATCGTCACCGACGAGGCTCGCAAGGAGTTCTCCTCCCTCCGCCGTGCCTTTGAGGAAGTCAATTCCACTCTTCAGACCAAATTCAGTCAGGTGTGAAATACTTTACTCTATCTCGATGTGTATTGTGTGTATGCGCATCGATTGTTATGTGTTCGATGAAATAGATCTACGTTCCATTAGATGCTTAGGGTTTCTGAGAACTTAAAAGATTCGAACTAGGTTTGATGCCGAAATGATTATTATTCCTTTATATTCGCGGTTATAAATCCAGCAGATTCATTTGTATGTATTACAAAGAAGATGATTACTTTTGGCGATGATTTGATGAATGTTTTCCGATTGGTAATTCTATTGCATTGGACTAAACTCCTTTAGCTGTTACAACTTTTATTAAATGCTTCCATGCCTGAATTTGTATGCTTTTATGATCAACATTGTTATCAATTCAATCCAATAATCTGATATCAATCCCATTTGGTATTTCAGGAACCAGAACCTATTGATTGGGAGTACTACAGAAAAGGACTTGGATCTCGTATAGTTGATTCTTACAAAGAATATTATGACAGTATGTTATCTATCTTCACCAAGATTTTGTTCTGTTATCATGTTTACTCATATGAAAGAAATGTGATTCTTTGTTCCTTTTTCTCTCTACACATACAGGTGTTGAAATCCCCAAGTTTGTAGACAAGACCACTCCTGAGTACAAACCTAAATTTGATGCACTGGTCAGAATTCCTACTTTACATAAAAAAAAGTTTTGATTTTTTTTTTTTGGTTTTGAGAATTCCTATTATTGTTCAATTGGTTGAAGAAAAGATGAACTATTGAATTACATTTACAGTTGGTGGAATTGAAAGAGGCTGAGCAGAAATCCCTCAAGGAATCTGAAAGATTGGAAAAAGAAATTGCAGATGTCCAGGATCTGAAGGTAATAAATAATATATTTATATTCTTTCAAGAATAAAGTAATTTATATAAGTGGTTGTGTGTGAAATGAGTTTGTTGATGTGATTGTAACAGAAAAAACTTAGCACCATGACAGCAGATGAATATTTTGAGAAACACCCAGAGTTGAAGAAGAAATTTGATGATGAAATCAGAAATGATTATTGGGGATACTGATTTGTTGGTGAGAAAGCCATTTGAATTGATTCCTTTTTGTTTGAGATTTTAATTTGTAGAAATAAAAACAAGATGAACAAACAAACAAACAAACACAAGATGTTGTCTATTTATCCACTCCAGAGGTAATGTAACTTTCTGTTTTGATATGATGAAGGGCAAGGTATAAAATGACCAAATCCATCAACATGAATTCCAAACTTGTTTTCTTCATTTATTTTTCGATATCATAAGACAGAAATATAATTTTTTTTTGACTAAAAATATGTTTGAACGTAGATATTGACAATAGCTGCCCAAGTATGGTAGAAAATCACATTAGGGTGTTTTAGAGATTGTATTATATAAAAATTAAGTGAAATGAAAGCAAAAAAAAACAATAGGAAATAGATTGGATTGTTGTTTGTTCAAACGTTCAAACATTTGGTTTGGTTTAGGACCAAATTGTCATTAGAAAAAAAAAATGGCTTAAAGTGGATTTTGAAAAAGCTTACGAATTTTATGTATGTTGGGGTTACATGGATGACATGCTTGCAAATCTCGGCTTCGAAATGAAATGGAGGGAATGGATTAAAGTTTGTCTCATTTCTTCATGGTTTCAATGTTAGTTAACGGAAGCCCTTCAACTAAGTTTCAAGGGATGTTTATGATTGTTTTTCAAAATATCTTATCGACTTATTGACTTTTTAAAAAGCCAATAAGTGAAAACATTTGACTTATTGACTTTTTGAAAAGCCAATAAGTGAAAAAAAATGTTTGACAATTTCAAAAGCACTTTTTAAGATAGCTTCTTAATACACTTCAAAAACGAGATTTCCAAAAGAATCCAAAACTTGTTTTTTTAAATGTTTTTAGTTTTTTTTAACTACAATAGCTTCAAAGATGAGATTTTAAGTTAAACACATTTTTAACTTATCAACTTATTGGTTTTTGTCATAGTAAAAACTAATTCAAACATTTAAAAAAAATCTTGTTCTCACCGTCATAAGTCAATAAACACTTTTATCCAAAAATATTTTTGGAATTCAGAAAAACAATTCCAAAGACTCGCTCAATCAAAAAATTGAAAAAAGAGTTTTGTCAAGGCAACATTCTTTCCTTTTATATGACGTCTTGAAGATTAACATGCACAAAATTAGTTTAGTAGGCATGGGTGTTGGGAGTCATGAGGTTGACGGTTTAGCCGTCATCATTGCATGTGTTTGGGAAAATTTCGGCTTACGTACCTTAGATTGCCAATAGGATCCGATATGAGTAGGATTGATTGGTGGAAAGTTATTGTTGATTGCTTCATGAAGAAGTTGTCTAATTGGAAAGTGAAAACGTTTTTCCGTTGGATGAGAATGAGTCCCTAGTGTCACGAATCGGGGTTCTAGAATTTTCCAGACCGATCAAGAGGATGGTAGAATAAGTAATAATCTACCATAAGTCCTTAGAACGACCTAGAATTCTCTAGGACACAAAAGTATAGAATAGAATTGTGTAGAAATTTGTATATAGATAAGGATCTTGTTTGAACGATCTAGAATACTCAGGAATATTCGAAACCTAGAAACTTCCCTTTGAGGAGGTGTAGGATGCCTATAAATAGGGGGATGACTCATTTGTCCAAACCATCGAAGAAGTTCCCTTGTAAGAAGTTAAGTTGTATAAAGAAGCACTTTTCTTAGAAGTGTTTCTTGTCGTTCCTCTTGCTTCCTTTAATCGTTAATACATCTGAGCCATCGAAGTTAGCCTGACTTAGTCGGAGGAAACACTAAGTGGCACACAGTGATTGAAGCATCCCGTGACACGTGGTATCAGAGCCAGAGTTCGTACAAGCAAGAGATCATGGCTACGGAAGGAGGAAGTAGTGAAGTAGCAAACGTGCCTCCTGTCGTCGAGGAGAAAGGAAGAAAGTCCAAGAAGAGGGACCAATCGATAGATGCCTTGGCAAACTTAGAGAACAAGCTTACAAGGATAGAGATTAATGTCGGTGAGATCATTGAATGGAAGGATACCGTCGATCAGTTCGTTGCCAAGATAAGTGACACGAGCGATGGATTGAAAGAGACCATCGGTGTCATCAAGGGAGAAGTCCTTGGACTTATTAACACCCTGCGGAATGAGTTCCGTGAGAAGATTGCTACTCTAGAAGCCGAAGTGAATTTGTGCAAAGCCGCAATTGCTGGAGGAGCAAGTACAAAGATGACGCCACATGCCGATGCACCTAAACCCCTGAAGTACGGAGGTAAGCGTGACCCTAAACTTCTTGAAGAATTTTTCTGGTCCATAGAATGTTATTTCAATGCAATCGGGGTAAAGGACGATAAGCCTAAAATAGACACGGCCGTCCTATACCTATGTGAGAACGCCGCCCTATGGTGGAGGCGGAAGCATAACGACATAGAAAAAGGGTTATACACCATAGAGACATGGGATGAGTTCAAAAGGCAACTCAAGAAGCAGTTTTGTCCCTATAACGTCGAAGATGTAGCGATGAAGAAGCTTCGGGGACTGAAACACGTTGGGTCGATTAAAGATTATGTGGCAAAATTTACTGCTTTAATGCTTGAGTTGCCTGAATTACAAGAAAAGGACAAGTTATTTTATTTCCAAGATGGACTACAATCTTGGGCTTATAACGAGCTCAAGCGAAGGAGTGTCCAAGACGTTGACGAAGCTATTGCTGTAGCGGAAGACCTTATGGACTTCCGAAGAGATGCCCCGATTAGGAGGACCAGTGGGGGAGATAAAGTCGCAACAAGGCCGTCACCAAGGGAAGATAGACCCGCTGTCAAACCCTCAACTTTCAAAGGAAAGGCGATCGAAGGAGGGACTCGTAAGGAGGTGAAGTGTTATTTATGTGACGGTCCCCATCTAATAAGAGATTGTCCCAAGAAGAAAAGTTTCAACGCCATGGTCTTTGAAGATGAAAATGAAGAAAGGGACGAAGTGCAACTAAGCTCGATGCGTCTCCTCAACTCGGTGGCTAAGGAAGAGACAAAACCAAAGAAGGGAGGAAGCCTCATGTTCGTAACGACAAAAGTAAATGGAGAAACCACAAGAGCCCTAGTTGATACAGGTGCGTCTCACAACTTTCTTGCTGAGGACGAAGCAAAGAAAATGAATATTCAATATACGAAAGAGAAAGGATGGTTGAAAACAGTAAACTCCCCATCCGAGCCAATCCTTGGAGTTGCTCATAACGTGCCCATCGAGATAGGAGGATGGAAAGACACCATAGAATTAACAGTATTCCCTATGGACGATTATCGTATTGTGCTAGGGATGGAGTTTCTAGACGAAGTACGCCCATTTTCCTTTGAAGACCAAACCATGCATCTCACCAAGGGCTCTACGATTCACATCGTACCCTTGGAAAGAAGTAAGACGGAATCTCGAATTATCTCCGCCATGCAATTAAATAAAGGACTCCGAAAGGGCGAAACGACCTTCTTAGCCACATTAAAAGAAGAACCTGAACTCTCCAAGTTGGAAGTTCCAAAGGAAATCAAGAAGGTACTAGAAGAGTTCAAAGACGTAATGCCACCGGAGTTGCCAAAGAAGTTACCACCGAGAAGGGAGGTTGACCACGAAATAGAACTTGAACCCGGAGCCAAGCCATCAGCGATGTGTCCTTATAGAATGGCTCCACCAGAGTTAGAAGAACTAAGGCGACAGTTAAAAGAGTTACTAGACGCTGGGTTCATTAGACCTTCCAAAGCCCCGTTTGGTGCGTCGGTGTTATTCCAGAAGAAGCATGACGGTAGCTTGAGAATGTGCATCGACTATCAAGCACTAAATAAAGTCACTGTGAAAAACAAATACCCCATACCTTTGGTAGCCGATCTATTTGATCGACTAGTAAGGGCACGTTGGTTTTCAAAGTTAGATCTGCGATTAGGATATTGGCAAGTGCATGTAGCAGCTGGAGACGAACCGAAGACGACGTGCGTGACAAGGTACGGATCATTCGAGTTCTTAGTAATGCCCTTCGGTTTAACTAACGCACCTGCCACATTTTGCACTTTGATGAATAAGATATTCCACCCATTCTTGGACAAATTTGTGGTAGTGTACTTAGATGACATCGTAGTGTACTCAGAGTCGCTAGAGGAGCACGTCGAACACCTACGCTCGGTTTTCAAAGTACTCAAGGAAAACCAACTATATGTAAAAGCGGAGAAGTGTTCCTTCGCCCAACCTGAAGTATCCTTTTTAGGGCATAAGATTACGGATCCATATAGAGAAAGACAAAATACGCACTATCAAAGAATGGGAAGCACCAAAGAACATGTCTGAACTACGATCGTTCTTAGGGCTAATTAATTATTATCGAAGGTTCATATCCAGCTACTCGGCTAGAGCAACACCGTTGACAGAGCTCCTAAAGAAAAAAATGACTTGGCAGTGGACGGAAAAGTGCCAAAAGACTTTCGAAGACCTGAAGAAAGTTGTTATGGAAGGACCAATCTTGAAGCTGCCAGATTATTCCAAACAATTCCAAGTACAAACTGATGCTTCTGACTTTGCTATCCGGGGGGGGGGGGTATTAATATGTGACGATCACCCTGTGGCATATGAAAGTCGAAAACTAAACGAGACGGAACGAAGATATCCAGTTCATGACAAGGAGATGACAGCCATTATTCATTTCCTTCGTGTATGGAGACATTACTTACTTGGAAGCCGATTCGTAATCCAAACCGACAATGTTGCCACGAGTTACTTTCAGAATCAGAAGAAGCTTAGTCCCAAACAAGCTCGATGGCAAGATTTCCTGGCTGAATTCGACTATGTTATGGAGTACAAGCCAGGGAAGACAAACGTGATCGCAGATGCACTAAGTCGCAAAGCGGAGTTTGCAAACATCACCAGAATAACTTGTGATCTTTCTGACCGAATTAGAGAAGGATTAAACCACGATCCACTAACCAAGAGTTTGATGGAAATGGCTACGCAAGGGAAAACCAGGAAGTTCTGGGTTGAAGACGGACTTCTACTCACAGTCGGAAATCGTATGTATGTTCCCAGGTGGAAAAGCTTAAGGAGGGAAGTCTTAAGAGAATGTCACGACTCAAAGTGGGCAGGGCATCCAGGGACACACCGAACCAAGGCCATCATAGAACAAAGTTATTACTGGCCAAGAATGCGAGATGATGTTGACGCTTATGTACGAACTTGTCTTATATGTCAGCAAGACAAGGTAGAGCAAAGC